AAATAAAAGCCTAATTTTACTTGGTTTATTGAATCAGATTCTAATATCTGTTGCCCTTTGATTTCAATCCCTTCCATTTGATAAGCATTACCAAGTACCAATTATGGCCCAGGAGCAGGGACAATGAAGACCACAGCTTTGCGTATGTGCCAGCAAAGCCATGGAGGCCATTTACCCGATGTGCTATTCCATACATAACCCTATCCTGTATACTTTATGAATCAATAAAAAAATTTACAATTTTTAATTATAAACCTGTGTTTTCTATCAAAATTACTTCTTGCGTGAATTTTGGGACACCCTATACTTTCTCTTCTAATCCCATTGATGCCACCGTCCTTTATCCGAGTAATGTTCTCCTTTGCTTCGCTCCCAACTCAAGGGCCACCTGATGCTGTCCTCCCCTCCAGCGGCTGCCAGAGCAGTTTCTCTGAGACAAAGGAGTCAGACCCACTGGGCCTCATTGGCCCTTTGTCAGCTCTGCTGGCCTCTAACTCCGTGGGACAAAAGCCAACAGCCCAGGCCCCCCCACCCCCCGCCAGGGCCTCCATTGGTGAGACTCTGTGGACCCCATTCAGTGCCCCCGTGAACATGATTTGGGGGGTAGGGGAGTTCATGCCTCGGGGGGCAAACCTTTGCTCCCTGAGAGAGAGCTGCTGGTGGCTGAATTGTCCTGCCTTCCTCCCAGCCCACCGGCAGTCCTGCCACCCAGTTCCTTGGAAAGGTGGTCCCACCGGCTGAAGCATCAGCCACATTTAGCAGCATCTTGGACAGGGCTCTCTCTCTGCCCCCGGTCACTCCCATGGAATAAGGAAATAGCCCACATGTTTTGCCCCAGGTTCTGCTTTTGGGAACCCAGACGGAGGCAACACACCTGCTCAGGCCTCTCCCAGTGTCCAGCCTGCAGCACCCACCTTGTGAGAGCTAAGAGCCCAACCCACCTCCCCCAGCCTGAGAGCCAAGACACGGGTACCAGGCCCTCGCCGATCCCTATCCTCTGCCCACAGCTTCCCCACAGCTCTGCCATCAGCTCCTGTCCCCACTGCTCCTGCTTCCTGCCCACCTTCCATTTCCCGACACTTTCACCTCTGAGCCTCAGCAAGCGCTGTTCCCTTTGCAGGCATGCCCTTCCCTGACAGGCAGAATCCTATTCCGTCTGAAAGAATAACCATGGCCATTGGAGAAATAGAAGTTAACAGTAACAGCTCCTGGGCATTGGGGCAGACTGTGGGCGAGGGACCAGGCTGGGTACCCTGGTGAATCTGAATTTCCTCCTGACGCAGCTGCAGGCAGGAGGCTGGCTCCTGTCCCCATGGCACAGATGGGGAAAGGGAGCCTCGGAGAAGGGAGCCACTGACCAAGGTCACGTGCCAGAGTGGCCAGGCTGGGCGGGCAGAGAAGTGGAGTACATCCCAGCTCCACTGGCTGGCCAACTGCCCACCCCCAAGGCCTAGTGAAGTGCCCCCCGCACCTTGGCGCCTCCTCTGTACCCCACCTTCCCAGAGCAGAGGCCTCGCCTCCCCTGCTCTTCAAGGACCTCCCTCGGTTGGAGTCCCTGACGAGAGCAGATATAATTACTTATGTCTGAGTCTGACACGAACCCTCCCCGACCATGGGCTCATCAGGCCAAGGTCTGCTCTGACTCAACTGTGGGCCCAGGAGGCCTCAGGGGCAGCTACTCCTGTGGTAAGGAAGGCACTGACAGCCGCATGTCCCCCCTCATCGGCTGGGCCAGGCTGGGTTCCAGCAGGAGGCCTCCAGGGGAAGCGGGTGGCAGGCTGCCCTCTTGGTTGTGTGCTCAGGCTCTGGGCCAGGGGCTGCTCTCTCCCGTTACATGATTGTGCTTTTGGTCACACCACGGCCTGTCTCCCTGGACCCTCCGCTGCTACTATGGAGCTGAGGGCCACTTGATGACGTGTGCTTAGCGCCTGGTCAGTCCCTGTCTCAGCTCAGACAGGGACCGCACCTTTCACACGCTCCACTCTGCTGACAAGTGGGGCAGTTGGCCAGGCTTGGCTCTGGGCAGTGTCACCTCCCCACCCCAGGGTCCCCCAGAGCCTCTTGAGTCCAGCCAGTGGCTGAGGGAGGACCAGGAGGGTCTGTACACACACCTCACTTAATCCTCACAAGGTATGGCCATTGTGACTCCTGTTGTACAGAGGAGGAACTGACGCTTCCAGAAAGGCACCTGTCAAGAAGTGGCCAAGCTGGGGACTC